TGTGTGTGTGTGTGTGTGTGTGTGTGTGTGTGTGTGTGTGTGAGTGTATGTGTCCTCCAGTGGTATAAAGAGAAAGGCACCCCTTAGGGGTCTCTTTTATAAGGCTCTACATCTGTTGGTGACAGCTCTTCCCCAACAACAACATTCTCTAATGCCACCATGCTGGCGGTTAGGTATCAACAGGGATTTTGAGAAGCATGCTCAGACCACAGGAGCTGTAGGAGGAGACTTAGACATGTACACAGCCATGATGGAGTCTGAGCTATAAGCTGAGCAAGGCTGGCCCTGCCCCAGTTGGCTAGGTAGAGATTTAGACATGCTGGTGACTATGGACATTATCATAACCTAAGGCAATCATACTCTTAGTCACATAATCTGGTCCTCTCTGTGCATCAGACATCTTTTCAGAGATGAAGCTGACGTGGGAATCAGAAGCATGACTTCCCCTCTAGACAAGTCAGTCTCTGTCAAATGGGCAGAGGGGTAGAAACGCTACAGAAGCCTTTCCAAGCATTGTACAAGTGAGAACGTGCTGAGGTGGACAAGGCCTAGTTGTCTATCTTTCCCATGGTCTGGTCCTTTGGATGGGTTGCTCCCAGTCTGACTGAGGGATTACTGTTCCCACGGTGGACAAGGTATTTCCAAGCTCTTCTCTGGACCAGTGGTTTTTAATGTGAAATCTCTGTCCCCCACAGTGCCATCCGGATCAGCCGGAAAGGCCGGCACGCGCTCCTCAACTTCTGCTTCCACGCAGCTCTGACCTTCACCGTGTTTGCCGGCGGCATCAATCGTACCAAGCACCCCATCCTATGCCAAGCGGTGAGTGCTGCCTTCCCTATGCTGAAAAGCGAAAGTGTGCATGCCAGCTTTCCTATCGAAGTGGAAACGAATGTTAATTTGCTTATAAAATAATATCTTAGTGTGTGTTCAGCTGTTGCTCCTGGAGAGAATATCGAAGCTTCTATAGTGGGTTCGTATTATAATCCCACTTCATCTGAAAGGTTGTTTTGCTCAACATTTGGCCATATGAAACAATTTTGTTTTTTACTACAGCAACTTGTCTAAGGACTAGTGGGCCATATACCTAGACATACACTGTCCAGAAAATGGTGATCTTCACAAGAATGGGGACATGATGCCTTTCCTGAAGACCAATAAGGCAGGGCCCAGGGGTGGGCTGAATGAGACCTTCCAGGTGCTAACCTCACATTGCAAAGTAGATCTGCCAGCTATAGGTACCAGTGGCAGCAGAGGCTCTCTCCTCACATGAATCAGGCAGAGCATCCCTCTTTCTTAGGGAAGAGGGAGCTTTGAAACACCGAGCATGGAAAAGAATAGCTCAAATCACAAGGCACATCATCTTCACACATGTGGCCTGGTTTGACTTGCTTAAACGGGAAATAGAAATAACCCGTGATCCTCGGCTAAAGAGATGCTAGAGAGCCTCCTTTCAAAGTCAAGCCCAGGACTGCCCTGTCGGGTTATGGCTCTGGGCCAAGGAAGAGAGCCATCTGCACCCCCAATAAGGAGTCTATGTTTGTCCTGCCCCCAGACCTGCTCCACACCTAGGCTCCATGAGTGAGGCCAGGCAGGAACCCAAGGACCCAAAGCAACTTACCAAAGGCCTTGGTGGTTTCTGTCATGTCATGGCCAACAACTTCCCTGCACCATGGGTTCTCAGGTATCCCTAACTGTTGCAAATTCAGCAAGTAGCTATTGGCTGATGCAGAAATGACCCCCAACCAATACCTGACCACAGGACCCACATTAATGACAATAGCCACACTAACTGGTTCCTCTGTAATCTCACACGGGTAGCTAGCTGAAGGTGAGACTTATCCTGTGCATCAGTGGGTTAAAGGCTGTTCCCAGAACAGCCTGGCTGAGAGAACACACCCTCCTACCTACCTGATTCCCACCCAGACCCACCTAGCTCAGGGAAGCGTCAACCAACTCAATCCCTGCTACTTTGTTTCCCTACACTGATGCCATTTGAGTGTTCTGTGAGCATGACACCCACACCTGAAAGACACAGGCACCAAATGTGTGACTATGTGACACATCCAACCCCAGGAAGCCAGGCCACCACCCAGGCCTGAGCCAGACAAGCAGAAGAGACAGTACCACATTGCTGAACGGAAGGGAGAGAAGACAGCTTCCTCCATTGCTGCCTCTGTTGAGCTGGAGACAGCCACAGTGAGGGCTAGGAAATCCCACTCACTCCTGTTACAAAAGCCTGTCCAGAAGCCATCGAAAAGGCAATTGAGTGGGTCATTATCTTTATGTCTTTCCTCTGATACCAAGTGCTGCACAGCCAGGGCCTGCTGGCCACACAGTCCATTGCAATCATCTTAGTGCCTCCATGAAGTCTGGCACTGGCCCGAGGCTCAAGCCAGCCCCATGAAGCCCCAGGAGGCAGGCGTCATCCATGGCATTCCAAAATTCTACAGGTACAGGACCTGGAGGAGAGGTTTGGTAGGTGGGGACAAATGGGCCTGGAAATATCGTCCTCCAAGCTAAGATCTGTAAGGGTCATGCTCAAGTGAGAAGTCCTTAGTAACAAACACTGGGACTCCAGATGATGGACAGGTCCCTGTGTGCTAGAGTCGGATGGACTGCAGACAGCTGACACCATCTGGTCTCCTGTGGCTTTTCCTGGAGTGGCCAGCCTCTATCCATCCCTCACTTGGCAGCATACCTTCCAGGCCCAGGCAGTGTTAGGGATGTGGGACCAGTGGAAACATATCTGTCAGGCTATGTTGGGAGAAGTTATGGACAGCAGACTAAGGAGAGAAAAAAAAAAAGCCACAGGCAGATGAGCTTTTGGCGACACAGAACCACTGCAAGGGCAGTGGGGAAGCGGGGAGAACTCAGGTAAATAAGAGCTAAAGGGTGGGGACCTCAGTTCCCACAAGGCACTCCAGGTGACAATCTCCACCACACCATGCCTATAAGCAGAGGTGAGGTTGTCTATTGCTTCTGAGCCCCCCCCCCCCCAGCTGGAAGCCAGGATGGTTTTAATCAGCAGCCTGGTAGGTCAGGAGCTGACCCAGCTCACCCAGCACAATTGCTCCCTCACCCGCTAAGAGGGGGACACCTGAGAGGAGCAGGCTAAAAGCTAGATCACTGAAAGCTAGATGTGTCCCCACATTGACTAGCAACCATCCAGATGACTGAGTAGAGGAGTCCCAGCCCCTCCCCATCCAAGCTCAGCTTCACCATAGAACAACCAGGAGAAGTGGTCCAGAGCTCTGGATGGCTGGCAAGAACAGACAGTTGTCATGGCAACACAAAGATGACCGTGCGTCTCATTAAAGTACTAAGTGACATCATAAACAAAGCAGACGGCTGCTGTTAGTCCCACATAATGAATGTGCGTCAGTGCTGGCCCTGGGTCCGGAAGCAAGGGAGGGTGTCAGTCCTGCTTCTTCCTTTCGATAGCACATGCTGTCTGGAAGCCGGGCGGCATCTCCCTTGACCTCCCTGTGTGTGCTGCCTCAAGTTGGTGTTTAGGAGACAGAGCCTCCCATTGTACACCTTCTCCTGCTCCCTGATCATACAGCCTGGATGAGACACAGCTTAAGGAAGGAGGCAGCCAGGCCGCCTCTCTCTCTCCTCCCAGCCGGGCTCCCTCCTACCTCAAGGCCCCGGGCCAATGTTTCAAGGCCAAAGGCAGGAGCCCTTCCGAGAATGAGTCTGACATTTCTGTTTACATATGGCAATGACAGCCACACTGCAGACCTCCCTTCAAACCATGGCTGCCCTCCCCTTTCCTGGTTGCCCCTGCCTTGAACTCTTAGATGGCAGACAGCTCTTGCCACCCAGGTCCAGCACCTCCTACTCTCATCCAGTGTGCCTGGGATGTTCATATGGCCCATCTCACCTGAGCAGCAGCGAGACCAAAGGGAAGGCTGAACTCGCAGGACATACTGCGCTGTACCTACGAAGCCATCTGAAACCATAAACAGTTCTTCGATCTTCCTACCCCTTACCCCGCCCCAAATCCTCATCAATTATTACAGCATTTGCTCATAAGTAAAAATTGAACTCTGGATTTGATAAATCATTATAATGGTGCAATGTTAGCTTTATTCAGGAAATCTCCATATTCCTTAAACATTTATGTCCTTTCCGATTATAGCAATATTTTACTTGTCATTTCAAAATGTCAGGTTATTACCTCAAAGGTAGCCTTATTTTATGGAATCAGATGGAGATGAAGCAGTGCAGAATGCGTAATTAGCTAGCGTAAAAAAAAAGTGCTGGATGGGACTGGCTCCAGAGGCTGTTTCCATAGCAATGAGTCACTCTGACGTGCGCAAGGGCGGGTTATCATCATCCCCGAGATTCCTCTCTTTAAATTCAATGCCACAGTGAGTACATGTTGAGAGGCCTGCTGTGCAACTGTGCCTGCCTTCCACTTGGGGGCCCCAGAGTGGGGCCAGAGTTCACAAGTAGGTGTGCCTACCAGGACACATACATAAGGATGGCACAGACATCCTGCAGAGCGGGGACCAGTATGCAAAACCACAAGCTTCCCACAGGTTCTCCTGCACAGCCAACAGCTGAACAGTTTCAAAGCCTTGGCTGCCCCTGACACATGCCCTACCTGTCCTCCTGGTGGTCTCATTTTTTTTTTAATCGTCCCTCAATAGTTGCAGAGTAGCTGCCAGGGTTCAGTACACTCATGGCACAGGAAGTCTGGGCTGCACACAAGCAGTCTGCTGTGCTGTGCTGGGGCAGGTGGCTGCAGGAGGTGGCTGGCTGACATTCTCCCCTCCCAGGTGGGCATTGCACTGCACTATTCTACGCTTTCTACCATGCTGTGGATCGGAGTGACTGCCAGGAACATCTACAAACAGGTGACCAAGAAGGCCCTGCCATGCCCAGGTGCAGACCAGCCACCGTACCCCAAGCAGCCCTTGCTCAGGTATCCAAGAATATTCATGGGCCCCTCCACCACCTGAGCCCAAGGAACCCATGACCCTGGACATACCTGTTATGTGTCCTGTAAACCTTCCCCACCAGACTCCGGGCTGGAGATGATCTGGCCTGCATAAGTGACCTGAGGGCTGGACAGAGCTAGGAGGTGGCACAGTAAGTGGGGGGGAGGGTCTGGGGGCAGGAATTGGGCGGCACTGTGCCAAACATGGGGACCAGGGGTAACATGGGATAGTAGAGCAAAGTCCTGAGGTAAGATGGGTTCGGCCATGGTGGTGAGGCTAATATAGGGACAAAGACCCAAGGTAGGTAGGCCTGGGGCAACTTGAAGGGCAGGGCACTGCCCATGGTATCTCTGTCTGGAGCTTGGCTGGTCTGAGGACTTGTGTCCCTATACTGCATGGGACATTGGGCTGCCCAGTTACTGGTAGAAGGCCCCTCCATGCCCCTGGGGTGACCATACATGGTGACTGGGCATTTGTGGCTTTGGTTTACTTCCTGGGCTCAGTGACACTAACGTATCTGCTTTTAACTAGTAGAAAACCCTTGCACATTCTAGTACTAATTTCATAGTCACTGTGCACTGACCTGTTGGGACCCTGTGGATGTCCACTACCCTCTCTCCTTGGAGAGAATTCTCAGCAGACTTGGAACCATGCATATGCTGGGGCCATGGAAATAGCCCTCAAAGACAAAGACGCCAGGATGGTTATTTCCCTCTTTCCAGGGTTGAGACAGAGAAGCCACAGGACTAGCCCATCTAGGGAATGGCAGGAGCCCTCTCACTTCCCCTAGAAAACAGCTGTGCTGTGGAGCAATCGAAAGCTAGACAAGAACATGCCTATAATCATAGCAGACAGACGTTAACAATAAGAGCCCCAAGGTTTTGTCACTTGCTCGACACCAAAACCCCAACACTCCAGTCAACAAAAGCCAGATTCAGAGTGGTCTGCCTGGAGGCCCTGGGCATAAGTGCAACCCTACATGAAGCAGGCCTTACCTGTTCTGTAGACCACGGAGGTTCCACAAGTATCCTTCTTGGCCTATCAGGACCTGATGTATTAGGTGGACCATGGTGCTAGGAACCCAGCAGCCCTTGGTCACTGGCATGTCTGACCCTTCCTGTCTTCTCCAGTCCCTGCCCCCATGGCTAGCTAGGGGCTTGGCATACATAACTACCTCTAAGTGCACACCCTGTATATACATATGTAGGTATGTGCCCTCTGTATACACATGGGAACACCTATCCACAGGTACATAGCCCCTGTAGATACATTCTGTCCATGTATACATGCATATGCATGCTTTCCACAGGGTCACACTCTACAGGTTAATGTCATTTGGAGGTGCAGGTTCAGGGATTAGGAGGGGTGTCTGTTTCATTCTCCACTAAAGTCCTGCTTCCCTCTGCTAACTTCTGATCCAGCCTGGGGCTGGTAAGGGAATTGCTGCACCTGACCCTTTTCGGGGAGGCCAGGGGCTAAGGAGAAGGAAAGAGGGAGCCTTTCATCTCAGACCCCATGAGGAGCCCTCTGATGCTCAATATGGATTGTTAACTTTACTGAATTGAGAGATGCCTGGGACCAGAGAAATACATCTGGGTATTGTGTGAGGACATCCAGAGATGACTGGTATGAGATGCAGTAAAGAGGAAAGGCCCACCTTGTATGTGGGCGGCAGCACCCAATTAGACTGGGGCCCAAATGGAGTGCCATGAGAAAAGGAGGACCCCAGCCAGCATGTGCAAGCCTCATGCTTCCTGAGAGAGCACATCTATTTTGGCTGCCATGGCCCATGGACACCAGACTCCATCTTCTTCAGCCTTTGAATGTAATCATACCAGCAACTCTCCAGGGAGCTTCCAGGTTTCCAGCCCCAGATGGAGGCATCGCTGGTCTCTCTCTCTCTTTCTAAGGCTTCCAGCCTCTTAACTAAGCAGCTAGGGATCTTCTGCCTCTCCATCATGCAGACAGCCATTGTTGGACTACCCAGCCTCTACTGTATGAGCCAATCTAACGAATATTGTTATCAAATATATATATACATATATATGCATATATATATACATATATATATGTATAGATCCTATTGGTTGTTACTCTAGAGAACACTGGCTGGTACACCCTTCATCTCTGGACCAGAAGCCTCTAACATGCCTTCCTTGATCCAATATCTCACTCAGGTGTCTCTTCCTGGGACTCCACAATGGGCATCTCCCTGGATTTGCATCCTGCTCTGGTCTCCAAACTCCTAAGTGCTTATCAGCATGCACTGAAATTAGTTCTAGAGTCTTGAGAACTTTACAGTCCCAGAAAAGAAGAACCCCCAAAGTGCCCACCAGATGCATGACCTGCTTAACTACTCTCTGGACAGAATACCTGTACCCCTTCTTACTGGCCACCACAGGAAAACAGTCAGATCCCATAGGTACAGCCAGTGAGCTCTGTTTCCTGTGTGCAAAGGCCCATGTGGCCAGCCTTGCCTGCAGGTTTCCAAGAAGAGGTACTAAGAGAGCTGCCCGATGGGCTTCTGGAAGAGCCTAGGACACACTGTTGGAACTTTCCACATTTCCAGCAACTTTTCCAGCCACAGGAGATCATAGGACTTAGGCAATGAGTGCTGTGCAAGCCTGAGACCCTCTGTCTGAGTGCCGGATAGGATGCAGACTGTGTCATTGGACGACACCATGAGGACAGAGGGTGCTGACTCCCTGGAGCCTCCACATGTGTGTTAGTGCTGTTTCAAGGAGAGAGGGGATCCACAGAGACCCAGAACAGAGCAGCTGAGTGGGCCTCATTGCCAAGGTTGAAACCAACTATTTGCTCCTCAGTCATGACCGAGGTTGGTAGTTTCCATGACAACAAAAAAGACTAGACTCTCAGCGGGGATTCTGTGACTTTAGCTAGTGATTCACCTGGTCTCGTCTCCCCTCTCTCTCTAGATATGCGCACACACACACACACACACACACACACACACACACACACACACACACAAATTAAGGGACACCCTGAGAAACCCATGGCCAGCCAAGCTCTCAGAGAATGGCCCCTGGATATATGGAGAAACAGCAACCCAGGTCTCTTCCTCAACAGCGGGGTGTCTTGAAGAAGGCATAACCAGCCCTGCTACCAACAGGATCCTAGCTGGGGCCAGGCAAGCGAATGCTCAGACATGGAGTTTATGTCTCAGAGACAAGTCATCAAAGGCCAAAACCCATGAAGGGACAGGTCAGGCACTCACACCAGCTTATAGCCCTGGGCCAAAGATAAAGAGCGCTGGCCTTGGGCGGTCTGTCAGGTCTTTTCAGTTCAGCCTGCAGTGAGGAATGATGTGGCCTGCAGACCATGTAAGGAAGCATTGTCGTTTTCACAGGACTAGCGTCTCAATTCTACAGACACAGCCTCCTTTTCATGTATGGAAATCTTTAATTTCCCCCGGAACCCCCTAGAGTTCGAAACACCAAAGTCTTGGGCCTCCTTGTTCACCTTTTTTCCTAAGTATATTTTTCCCTTGAAACATTACTATAGCTAGATGTTGTAGCTCATGCCTGTGTTTCCAGAACTCAGGTGCCTAAAGCAGGGGGGTTATCAAAAAAAAAAGTTCAAAACCAGCTTCAGATACATAGTGCATTCCAAGCCAGCAGGGAGGGCAGGGTAAAAATAAGAATTTTTTTTTTTTAAAAAGTAACTATAAATTGAGACTTTCTTAATTTTCATTTCTAATCAGCCCATGCTTGCCTGTAAAATACAACTGGTTTTGTGTGTGGATCTTGTTTCCTGTAGCTTTGATGAATTCTCTTATCAAAGGTTTTTCTGGTTAATTCCTAGGAGTTGTGTGCATGTAATGATTGCATCATTGGTGCCTAGCAACAAAGCTGCTCCCCCCACGCCAGTCAGAGTCCTTCCTGTTCTCCTGTCTGGCTGACCGCTCTGGCCATGACTCCAAGCCAGCGTTGGCCTTCTCCCTCCACTTAGTGTAGCGCACATCCGCTAAGTGTGTTGAGCGTTCTAAAGAACCAGCCTTTGGTGTATCCGTGATCTCTATTTTTTTTTCCTGTTCTGTCATCTCTGCGCTGTCCTTTCTTCTGTGTGAATAGGTTTGTTTTGCCCTTCTTCCTAGTTCCTAACCATGAGAAACTGGGGGATTAATCTTTCATTAAAATGACTGTTTCACAGCTATAAGTTTTCTTGTGTGTGGCGTTGCCTGGGGCCCCCAAGGCATAGTGTGTGATTTTTTCATTCAACTCAATAGTTTCTGTGTTTCCCTAGGATTTCTTCCTTGGTCTTTGGTTACTTAAGGGTTTTGTTTTCACGGATCATTAGATATTAGAAAACAGGAGGAAACTATCTGGAAACTTGTGGAGATTTTTGTTTTAGTGATGATTGGAATGAAGAAAGTCCTGGCTTGGTCACGGGAGGTGGTGAGATTTTAGCTGCTCAGACTCTGTGAAGAGATCTTTACTACAACCAACAGACGAGTCTCATTCCTTTATCATGTTTAGAAAATTCTACGTGTGCCCAATGGCTCTGCAGCCAGGGTAGGGGCAAGACTGGGCTGAGAGTAGGTGACTGCCCATCTTCCCTCCCGGGGAAGTCTAGGCTGTGCCTGGACTAGCCTCTTCTGGCTCTGTTGGAGTGGGAAGGGGAGAGTGGAGAGAGGAGCTGTGTTGTCATGTGCTCAGTGGGGGAGCTACAGCCTCTAGAAATTACCTGGTGTTGAGGACCCTGATCAGAAGTCATCCAGACATCATGCAGTGGGCCCAGAGCTCTGATGGGGGTCTCTGGCCCAAACACAACGGTGGATTTAGTGGGGATCACATCCCTTCCTTAGTCCTATCACAAGCCTCTGTGGGTTAAGAAACCACAAGTAACCAAGAGAAATGTTAGGGAAGCCCAGGAGCAGAAAGTCTTGGCAAAGAGAGTCTTAGGACCTCAGCTAGGGAACCAGGGGTCTCTGACAAGCACAGTCTGGCTTTGCCATTGAAGG